ATTTATCCAGAGAACGATGATAAACCTGCAATGGAGGATTAGGAATTTAAGATGAAGAAAAACCACCATCAGGTACAAGAAACAATAAAAGTTCCCCCTGAGTAGTAGATATCAAATCTGAAGAAAGAGTCCTGCCTGAATTGAAAAAAAAAGTTGACTCAAAAAAGATAATATCAGTAATGGTATAATACCAATAAGAGATAGGGTCATAACATTAATAACATTTTTGAGTATGGGAGTATCTTAGAAAGACACTTAATCGAGCGAGAGAAAAGTTTATCCCGACCCGGACCTAAAAGATGAACAAATGCAGTACAACTAAAGATACGAGTGGTGAGACCAAAGGGTGATGTATCAGGGAATAATAAGGAGAATGGAGATTTATTATCTAAGACGGAAGAGAACATCTGATTAATAAGATACACTACAGAGAACAACGTTTGCCTAATAAATGAGAGTACGAGCAAACATCCAATAAATGACGATATTTGCATCCAGCAATACCATTTTGTTAGGATGTGTGTGGACATGTAGTCTAATGAATGATACAATAATCATCACAACATGTATGCATAAATAATTGAACATCCTCAAGGGCATTGTCAGAATGAAATATCTTAATTCATTTATCAAACTGTACGAGAATCTCATTATAGAAAGTGAGAAAATTTTTAGGTAGTTAGAACGATCCTTTATAAGAAACAACCAAGTAATACGAAAATAATCATCAGCAAAAAATCACAAAATAATGAAATCCAGAAAATACTTTTTGTTCTTGAAGGACCCCAAATGTCAGAATGAACAATAGCAAAAGGATTAGACTGACAACTCGTACTACTAACTGGAAAAGAACTACGGAGATGTTTGACAAGCCCACATTCTAACATAACAGAAGGACTCAAATTAGGAATGACTTGACGAAACTTTTGTAGTGAAGGGTGACCAATCGAAAATTTCACTAGAGTGGAGAAACGGTAGCACTCAAGGCAAGAACGACAACTCTAGAATCGAAATAGTCAAGTCCATTCTGCTCATGCCCCAAACCAATTACCTTCTTCGTCTGGAGGTCCTAAAAAACACAAGAAGAAGGAGAAAAAAGGTAATTGAACATTGTAAAGACTTGATTAGCTGACTCATTAATAATAGATTAAAAGAAAATTGAGGGACAAATAAACCAGATATTAAGGACATGGAGTCTGTAGCATGGAGATCACTAGTCCCACGCACTTAGCCTAAGAGAGCCATCAATTACCATAATACAAGAGTTAGAAGAGTAATAATTAGAAAATAAGGACGAAAAACTAGACATATGGGTACTAGGTCCCGAATTAATAATCCAAAATGGTGAAGCTAATTAGGTAGCCATGTGTGCAAAATTTCCAGCAGTGGCCAAACCGACAATGGAAGTTGGCATATGTGAAGACAACTGCTGGATGAGCTGACTAAGTTGAGCAGTAAGTTCATCATGTGAGCCAGACGTAGATGGAGTATGACCACCAGTAGATGGCTAAGATATAGGTGAAGAAAAGTCATCAGAAAACTGATTAGCATAAGTTGGCCTCCCATGTTTATCCTAGCAATAATCTTGAATATCACCGATAACTCTACAATAAGAACATTTTTACTCAGAACAATTACCACAACCACTACGACCACCATGTCCTCCTCTACTGGTACCTCTGCTACCACGGCCACCACCTTGAGCCGGAGATCAAACACCACAACGGCCATTGCCACGAGCACCATCTGCTGAGAGGAATCCTATGAGGATGAGGAATTTCCACGGGTCAGAGAGGCTCTCTAAAGACAAAAATAAGCATTGGCAGCCGTTGGAAGTTTCTCACTAACCAAAATTTGATCCTTGAACACACCATATTCAAAGTTAAGACTAGGTAAGAATAATGCAACGTAAAACTCTTCACGCTGCCGTCATTGTTCCTTGAGGTCTACACTCAATGGCCAATAGAGCAAAAGTTCCTCCCACAATCCTTTCAAAGTATCATAATACTTGGCCAGATATTTATTTCCCTGCTTAGTATTGAACATATGCTCAAACAGTTTATAGATCCTAGACACATGTTTTTGTAAATACACCTCCTCAAGAGAGTCCCAAATTTTCTTAGCAATATCAATAAGTTAAACATTAGAAGCCACAAATGGCTCCATACTAAGCCCTAACTAAGTCATTACCAAGGAATTCTCACTCCACCAGTCCTCTTCACTTGTTGATTTATCTAGAGGGCTTTCAATCAAATACTTCACTTTCTTTTTAGCTCGTAAAAACACACCTTAATAACATGAGACCAAGAATGATAATTGATTCTATTTAACTTCACAAAAGTAATCTGCCAAACTTGGTCATCTCCCGAATAAACCTGTCGAACCGAATCACCCACAGATGTATCTTTTTTTATCTTAAGGAGTTGCCATTGAATATAACCAATCAAATATCACTCACAAGTCCCAAGAATTTAAACAACACAACATAACAACCAACACAAAACTGGAGTTAACTCAACCCTGATCAACATAGCACAACTAGGCAGTAGAAGTTCATCAGCAGAACAATTCATGCCAAAAACACAACTTAGGAGCAGAAATCACATATAAACCAATCAACCAACCAAACAAGCCTTATGTCTCAATTATTTGGGGTCGGCAATATGAGTTTGTCTTCGCTATTCATTTTGATCATGTGTTATACGCTTATACACTTATCTTTTCAATATTAATTTAGGCCTACCTTTACCTCTAGTACCATTAAGAGAAATTCTATCACTTTTTTTAATCGGTGTCTCTATCGACCTCTATTGAACATGACCAAACTATCTTAATCTATTCTTTCTCAACTTATCATCAATTGAAGTTGCTCTTACCATTTCTCTAATACAGTCATTTCATATTCTATTCTTTCTAGTTTTTCCACACATGTACCTTAACATTCTTATTCTTGCTACACTCATTTTGTCACTATATTGGTTCCTAGTTGCTTAACTTTCCATCTCATACAACATTTTTGGTAAAACTTGCATTTTAATTTTATTGGTATCCTTCTATCTCATAATATGCCAAAGACTTTCCTCCACTTAAGTCAACCGACGTTGATTATATGAGTTACATTGTCTCCGATCTCTCCATCAATTTTAATGAGCAATCCTAGATATCTAAATCATTTACTAGTTAATATTTCTTAATTTTCAATCTTAACATTTTCACTATGTCTACTTCTTCTATTACTAAAATTGTATTACATACATTCAGTCTTACTACTACTTATTTTAAACCCTTTTGACAAGATTGTCTCCAATTTTTTAACTTATTGTTAATCTCCCTTCGAGTTTCATCTACTAAGACAATATCATCAGCAAATAACATACACCATAGAACGTCATTTTGGATATGACTAGTGAGTTTATTCATAATTAGGGTGAATAGGTATGGACTTAGAGTTGATCCTTAGTGTAATCCCACCGTGATTGAAAATTCTTTAATTTTTCTCACGGAGGACCTAATTATAGTCATAGTCTCGTCATACATGTCTTTTATCACCTCAATATACTTATTTATCACTCTTTTTCTCTCATGCACCAACCATATTATATTTCTAGGCACTTTATCATACGTCTCACAGAAGCTCAAAAGCATTGAAGTGGATGTGCTGAACTAACAAGAAATAGGTCTCAGCACAATGAACTAAACTGAAAGGAAAAAAAAAAGTATATCTTTAGCACTGACTAACTAAGAACCAACCAAACATAGGTCTAAACAATACTAAACCAAGCACAACCGAAAGAACACCCTCCACAACACTAAATCAGAGCTAAATAAAAAGGTCTGTAGATCCATGAATTGGGTCTAATAATTGAGTTGGACCAAGAAAGAAATCAGGTCAAAGTGATTTAAACCTAAAATCATGAATTGGTTCAATCAGGCTAACTGAACCCCATATAGCTGAATAGCTTGAGATGAATGCACAATTTTTTTAAGACAAGTGTGAGGAGGTGGATTACATGTAGAACATAATCTTTTTCTTTTGGCTTCCTTTAGGGTTCTCGTGTTTCCTCACTTTTTGGGAGTTCCTTTGTTCTTGATTATGGAAATCTCAAAACCGCTAGTGATTTGTAACTTGTTCTATTTGCATGCTTACTTTTATCCTATTTATTTTGTTGGACTTCTCGTCCTTCATCTATCACTTTTTCATTATTCATGAAAAAACTCTTGTTGCTGATAAATAAAAACACATACAGATGCAGATTAGGCTAGTTTGGCTATAGATTGGAGGTCTACACCTGGCTATTGCACTTTTGTGTCAAGAAACAATCTGCTTTGGCCAGTTGTAGTATAGATACATAGTCTAGAGCCCGGGCACGTGGAGCCTAAAAGTTTCCTTGGTAAAGATATTGTTGAAAGAACTTGGTTTTGACTGTAAAGAGCCTATGAGATTGTATCATGAAAACAAAGCAATAATTAACATGGTTCATAACCTGGTTTAACATGGTTGAACGAATCATATCAAGATTGACTAGCACATTATGAAAGAAAAGATGAATGTTGACTCGATTTGTACTCTGTATGCAAAGCCTTAAGATCAAATTGTTGACATCTGGACAAAGGGAGCTTGGAATAAAAAATTTGCTGATATTCTAAGCAAGTTAGGCATGTGGGATATCTTTGCACCAGCTTGAGGGGGTGTTGAATTATGCTGTTTGTTGTGTCTTTCGTTCTTTATTTCTAGGAGGATGTTTGTGTCAATATAGTAGAGTTAGCACAATAGTTATGTACAGAGATAGAATACTAATGTTTTTCTCTTTTTTGGCCACACTCTCTTTTTCTTTTTTGCCTCTTTATTTCTTCTTCTTTCTTCCTTCGTTATTCATTTGTTTGACTTTTCAACAATCATGTAAAAACAAATACCAAAGTCCATGTAATATATGCTGAGGGATTTTCCCGTAGTCTCCTTACAATGCATACGTTACTGTCTTGCTATACCAACCCCACATTTAATTATAAATCAATGAACTAACCAAAAGGTCCCAAGGAGAGCAGATTGCTGCAGCCCCAGCAATGGGAACATTTTCCCCATCCTCTCCAAGGAATTTTACCTGAGAGAAAAATAACACAATTGCATAAATAGATATGAATTATTGACTCCCCATCAAAAATAAATTCATAAAGTATCACAATAATATGCATTATGAATTTTCTAGTGAGATAGTACTGTGTTGTCAGCTACCAATATGAGCAACGTTGTATAAGTTTATTGTGACAGTAGTAGTACTGCCAGGGTAGTGGCAGCAGTGGTGGTGTTGGCAATAGTGGTAGCAGTGATAGGTGGTTCATAATAATGGTAACAGTGAGGTGGTTGGTGTGGAGGTGGTGCTCATTGGACATTGTCATATTGGACGAAAACTTAAATCCATGAATCTCATTGCCCAATAACTAAAAAGAAGCAATAGCAAAGAAGTAATGGTCTTTTACAGGAAGAATAGATAAATCAATTATTAAAATCCAATGAATTTGCAAAGATAGATGAAAAAAAATAAAAAAGCAGGAATTTGACTTCCACTAGGAAAACATTAATCAGGAGGGTAAAAATGTAAAGCACTATTAAACAATCCACCCCCACCCCAGAATACTCGGTGACCTGCTCCTAAGGGGCATGGCATTTTCAAGGTTATCCATATTTAAAACCACAATCATTTATCTGAGGCTTAAAGAAGTGAAAATACTCCAGTCAATGTACCAGAATGTTAGCACCAATGCTTGTTCCGATGGCAAAAATTGGAGCTTTTGGGTATTCAAGATGGAGATGGTCAACAACTTCCCGTACATCCTCTGTCCATCCAGCATTATAAAAGCAATCAGACTGCACAAGCGTATTAAAATAGCAAATTAACTTCCAAATTTCAAAAAGAAATAATAAATTCATTTTTTCCCTCAAAAGCCTAGTGCAGTCAATGACAACAGGGTATATATATTTCTGGAGAGTCAGAAAAACATAGAACACCTACAGACTGTCATACATTGAGAAACCCGTCAATTCAATAATCTACACCCTCTTTGTGTAATGAGAATTGTCAGGTAACAAAGTACTCACAGTAACTGAGACTCCACCCAATCCTCGGTGGTTACTAACAACTACATTCCATCCACGTTTTGCAGTGAAGAAGGCAAGATGTTTCATGTACTGCAATACATAGTGTAGAAGTTAATCAAAACGATACCAAAACTTAAATTTAATAGACACGCTGATATTGAAGAAATCTTAATAAATATTCACAAATACGTGGGTTAATCCCATCCTTTCTCCGTTTCTACAATTTATTCAGTCCTTACATACTATAGATACGTAAATATATGTAAATAAATTCGACTCGCTTAGCATTTCCTACGATGTGTGCTTCCGATAAGGATCGAAAGAGAGATAATCGTTCATCTTCATGACAGGGATTGAAATATAGATAGGGGCTATGTTTTTTTGAGGGCAAAGAAGAAGAATAAGATACAGGAGAAACAAAGGTCGCAAGACAAGAATATGATCGAGAGCTTTGTTAGAATATAGAAATGGCATTATTGTAATAAGGATACTCCTTAAGGGGTATTTCTTCCTACTGTCACAAGGTATCAGAGCAAGCCAATTAACCTCACTTGGATCCCTCTTCTTTCTCTATTCTTTCTTCCTTTCGTTTTCCTCTTTTTTTTTCTCTTCTTCTTCTCTTGACAAAGACCTATCTATTGACACAAGTTGTTGATGGTTAGGTGTTGAGTTTCCTAGCCCTAGTTGTTGTTCGTCGCCTACGGAATCGCTACCTGTGTGTTGTTGCTGCACAGCATATCGATCGAGTCTTGTTGGTTGATGTGTTCGGTTGTGGGTTTGTGATTAATAGTCGTGATTGATGTAGCGATCCTTTGGTGGAGTTGTTCCTTGCCGATGACGACATTACTGTGTGTGGGACGTCTGGTTTGTTGAAGAAGAAGGGTGGTGTTTGGTTATAGGCCTAGTAAGTCCTATTTAAATTAATTTTCCATAAGCGGACCAAGTTTATATTGAGATTAATAGTCATTTTATTTGTTACCATCTTTAGCTTGGGACTATTTCATTGTCTTTTGTTCTTTCTACTGTGCAATTAGCTGATTTTTTCGTAGTCGCGCACTACGTTGTATTTTCGTTTTCTTCTTGACAAATTTTCGATGTTGTCGAGTTTGAGGGGGTGTTAAGATTGTATTTATGTTTATTTCTCATTAAGAAAATTCTAGTCTTTTTTTTGAAGTAGGATTTTACATATATTGTCTATCGTACCTAGTTTTTCATATAATGGATTTCTTTTCTCCTTATCGCTTCTATAGCTTGATCTATTTTTCACCCACAACAACCTAGTTGGGCCAAAACTTATACATCAACAAAGGGAGCTTATGCAAGGTCTCATGATAATTCAATGCTTCATCGATACTCATTACTTTTAGATGCATCATTCCAAATAGGTACTCTTCTCAAGGACCAAAATTCTGTATAGTTATATTATTTCGGCTACCTAAAAAACAGAAATATTTCGGAAACAAAATAAAAAGGAAACAAAATTAGGGTATTTATTTCCAAAATATTCGCCGAAATATACCAAAACATGTTAAAAACAACTCAAAATATGCCAAAATATTGTTGAAACATCTCAAAACACATCGAAATATTCTGAAACACCTTGGACCATTGGAATTTCGATTGAATCACTAACCCATTTTGGTCTCTTTAGAAACGAAAACATAATGACAAGATCAGCAAGGAGCCATTGCAACCAAATTATATCAGCTGCTGTAGACGCCATAACACGATATTCAGCTTCGACAGATGAATGAGAAACAATAGTTTGCTTCTTACTTTTTCAAGAAATAAGAGAATCATCGAGGAAAAGACAGAAGCTAGTAGTGGACTTATAGTTCATAGAGTTACCAGCCCTGTCAATATCAGAATAATCTCTGAGTTCCATAGAGGAGGAGGAGGAGAATAACAAACTCTGTTGTAGAGTATCTTGACAATACCGAAAAATACGAAGAATAATAACCCAATGAACACTGGTGAGTGAGGCAACAAATTGACTAACAATATAAACAGCATAGGAGATATCCGGACGAGTGACTGTAAGATATACTAAACTTCCAACAATAGTGCAATAGAGTGCTGGATCAGACAAGAGAGTATCATCATAAGAAGAGTAACGAACATTGAGCTCTAAAAGTGTTTCGGTTGTCCGATTATCTAATAAACAGGCTCGTTGAATAAAATTCAAAGCATACTTGAACATAGAGAAGATAGCCTTTAAGAGAGGAAGCAATCTCTATACTTAAGAAATACCTAAGTTGTCTCAAATCTTTATCTCAAAATGGTCATGCAACCGAAATTTCAATAAGCATATATGAGTAGTGTCATCACTCGTAATAATAATATCATCAACACATAGTAAGAGAATAATAGAACCTGAGAAAGTAGACCGTAAAAAGAGAGTATAATGATGGTCATTGGCACACAAATCCAAGTCACAAATAACCAAAAAAAATTTGGCAAACCATGCCCTGGTGTTTTAAGGTCATATACAATTCAATGAAGTCGACATACTTGACCAGGACTATAAGACAATCTAATAGGAAGAGTCATAAAAACTCCTTTACTTAAATCTCCTTGAAAAAATACATTTTTCAAGTTCATCTGAGACAGACTCCATTGGCAATCACAGTGCGAACAGTAATCATCTTTGCAACTAAAGCAAAAGTCTCACCATAACTTAGGCCATACTCCTGAGCAAAATCCTTGGCTACTAATCAAGTTTTATATCGTTCCACAGAATCATCAAACTTTGTTTTTATCTTATAAACCCAACTACAACCAATGATGTATTTACCAAGTAGTAAAGACACTAGCTCCCAAACTCTGGTCTTATATAAGGAAGACAACTCCTCATCCATAGCTTATTTCCATAGTGAATCAAGTAAAGCCTCCTTGTAGGAGGTGGGTTCAAATAGAGAGTGAATAGAAGTAATGAAAGAAAAAAATTCAGGAGAATAACAAGTGTTACTCTAACTAAACTTGTCTGGACATTTGTGAGAGTGTTGAAGATAGCTTGGGATATGATCTACAGTGTTTGAACCTTATTGGGTGACAGGAGGAAAGAAGAGAGGCACCACATCCATAGAGGAGATAACTAGAGTCCTGCGAACATATATATGCACAATAGGAAGACGAGAAATAGTCAACTTAGAAGGGAAAGGATCTAACAAAGTTAAATCACCGATAAATGTGTTATGAGGAACATTAGTAGGAAAGGGATCAATGTATAGCAAATCAGAGGGAATATGCTCAAAAAACAACATGGCGAGAGACATAAAGTTTGTGGATAATACGACCATAACAACGATACCCTTTGTGACCCTCATTGTAATCAAGAAAGACACATAAAACTGAACGAGCAGAAAGTCTAGTACGAAGAATACTAGGGAGCAAAACAAAGTAAGTACAACCAAACACACGTAAAGAGAAATAGTTAGGCGGTTTACCACATAATTTTTCAAATAGGGAGACTTCAGAAGTGAGAATAATAGGAATGAAGTTGGTCAAATGAACTGATGTACGAATTACTTCCCCCAAAATGAGCTACGAACATGGGGTTGATAATAAAAGGGAGTGTGTTGTCTCTAGAAAATGACGAGATTTACGTTCAGTAACACTATTCTGCTTAGGTTCGTCAATACTAGAGGATTGATAAAATGTACCATCAGATTTCAACAAATTGCAAAAAATAAGTAAGATTGCATTCACATCCTTGATCACATCGAAAACATTTAATGACAGCTGAATATTCAGTGCTGACCATGTTACGAAAAGTAGTGAAGATTGAAAAAAATTCAGACCGACGTTTCATCAAGTATACCCAACAATACCTCGTATAATCATTGTTGAAATATAAATACTTAAGTAATATCCTCTCTAACAGTTTAAACTTTTAAAGTAGATGGTTGTTTAATGGTATCAGAGCAGGAGGTCCTGTATTCGAATCTCACCACTACCCTAATTATTAAAAAGATTTCCACGTGTAAGGCCCAAAATTTAGCCCACACGTGAGGGGTTGAAGTATAAATACTTAGGTTACACTCTCTCTAACAGCTTAAGATTTTAGAGTAGATGGTAGGTCCTGTGTTTGAATCTCGCCATCACCCTAATTATTAAAAAGATTTCCACATGCTAGGCCCAAAAATGTAATCTTCACATGGCAGGGCATGTTGAAGTATAAATATTTAAATTACACTCTCTCTAAAAACTTAAACTTTTGGAGTAGATGGTAGTGAAACGCTAAAGGAATCGGATATGGCTTTAGCATCTTTTCGAGCTTCAGTTACCAAGGTTTTTATGCCTCGTGTGACTTCTATTATGGTCTAGATGTCCTTCTTCTCTTCTAGGAATTGATCTTCCCATTTTAACAATTATGGACTAGACTGTTAAGAGAGCTTATATCCCCCATAGCATAACTAGAACTATCAAGGTTCGTTTATATACTTGAGGGGCCACTTCAACTATTGCCGATGGGTTTTGGATTAGATGCTCTAACATAGTATTAGAGCTGGGGTCAAGTGGTCAGTGGTCAGTGGTCAAGTCTCTTAACCATTTGTATCCTGTTATGCATAGCTATTTGTTTGTTTGTTGACCTCACGTACAAGCCTAGGTCCCACGTGACGAAGGGTGTTAATTAAATCCGCCAAGGTTAGTTTATATACTCGAGGGATCACTCTATCAATTGCCAATTGGTTTGGGTTGAATATTCTAACACAAACATATAAGTAAATAAAATATTTAAAATTTATATTCCCAGACACAGCATAGAAGTGCCAAAAAGTGCTTCGAGACATGATTAGGAACAGGTCTGCCAGAACAAATCCTAAACTTACTGGAGAAGCAGAATCACTACATAAGCCTGGGATCACTACCACAATTGGAGTCGTATCCTCCTTAGAAATGGCATTATTCCTGCAAGTAGTATGTCCCATAACTGTACAATGAATGAAAACAGTGATTAGACACAGGAGTTCCACAAGACACATTAAGAGTCATTAATCTTTTACAGTCTTCAAAGATAGTGCACTGTCAAAGACTGCTAAAATGGTATTGACCAACACGCTCAGGTGCATCAAAGAAAAGGGAGAGAGAGAGAGCATAACATGCTCATGCAGCCTCCCAACCAAGTCATCATGTAGCAGAACCAGCAATTGAGAAACACAAGCTTCCCATACCTCAAATCTTGCAATGACATCCAACCAAAAAAGTACGATAAAACCAAGACTGACAAAATTACAGAAAATGCAAAAACCATAGCAAGCACTATGACAAGAGTAAACCATAAATATGCCTTCAAACACTCGCTCGATAACTGCCATAAAAACCATTTCAATAATATAAAGAAATCAAATAATCAATGTTGAACTGAAACATTGGAATTACATGTGTAAAGTATGTTGAAGATTAGTTTGAACCATAATACTCCACCCAAACATCACAGCTTCATGGGTGACTAGATTAATCTAGCTCCTTCCATATAAAAAATGAAACCAAATAGAACTACGGAAAATGTCATCACAACATCACAATTCTCTCCTACAAATCTACCACTAACTTGTTTAAACAAAAAAGGGAACTAAAGAACCAATATATTTTCAATTACAGAAAATACAAGCAGAACCACAATCGCATAAAAAATTCCATGTTACAAAATTTAGAACATTGCTTCTTCCTTCAAATCTTAAACAAGAAGGTATTAATTAACACTATAAAGAGAGCTTGTATTCCACAACAAAAG